GAGAGAGATGGGGGAGAGAGAGAGAGATGGGGAGAGAGAGAGAGAGAAAGAGAGAGAAAGATGGGGGGAGAGAGAGAGAGAAAGAGAGAGAGAGATGGGGGAGAGAGAGAGAGAGATGGGGGGAGAGAGAGAGATGGGGGGAGAGAGAGAGAGAGAAAGAGAGAGAGAAAGAGCGCGCGCAAAAAACAAAACAACAACAACAACACGCAAATGCCCACATCCTAGCCTTGGTTTGGAGACGCACACCCAGCCCCGCGCGTTTGCAGAAGTGTGCAAAGTCTCTGGGAGGTTTCAGCTGTAGAACTCCGGCATTGCGCCCCAGCCCGGCTCGGCGTGGGTTTGAATCCCAGGCTCCCTGGTGATTGATGAGTTTGTAACCTGAGCCTAGGAGGGGCCTGTGTTAGAAGGAACCCCGCGCTGGGGCAATTTCCATATTTCCGGGGAGTGCACGCTGTAGCCCTCGGCGTCCGAGAGCGGATGCGCCCTCGTGCGGAAGCTCTGTTGGCTGAGGACGGAGCAAAGGCCCTGCGGAGGGCCGCGGAGCCTGCGAGACGGCCGGCTGGGCCTCTAGAACCAGTGTCCCAGAGAGCCATATGGGGACACCGAACGTTCCCTGCAGATTCATGAGCCTAAGATCCAGGCAAGTTCGTCATCCGAGAAGTCACTTGGTGAGTGCTCACCTCCCAGCCTGCAGGAAAAGCCTGATATCTGGCCCGCCCGGACGCCCCGGAGGGACTGGAGTTTTCAACTCTGAGGCTCGAGCAGAAAAGGGGTTCCCCGTGAGATGAGGGCAGACAGCCTTGCTCCCAATCCTGGGACAAAGCACATGTGTGCTCGGGAAGGCAGATGGGAACCCAGACACTGGTGATAAAAACGGCCTCAGATAAAAAGGCTGAGGGGGGAGAGGCCAGAGCTCCTCCCACTGCCCCCCAAGCCGTCACCCGACCTTCCCCACTGAAAGTAAAACGTAGGAACCAGAGTTAACATCACTTTCTCCAGACAGCTAACATACATATGTATAATGTGTGTGTGTTACATACACAGAGACGATTCAACCGCATGTGTAGCAAGTTTGAGAAGAGCCCGGGTGAAAAGATGGAGGACTTAGCCCGTCACCTTACTGACAACCTAAAAACATTGGAGACAAAGATGATGATAATGTTAATAACTAAAATGTATTGAGGCATTTTGTCCTCACAGGAGCCCTAAGAAATAGAAACCTTTGTTGTTCTCATTTTGCAAACCAGGAAACCGAAGCCCTGTAAGTTAACCTGCCTCAGGTGTCCCATGAGGAAGTACTCCAAAAGACAGAAAAACAATCATCTTATAATAGCCCCAGCTGTGGACACTCAGGACCCAGTGGAAGTTCTCTTGCCAACGCTTACAATGTCTGTGAAAGACCGGGGTGGCAGATGCACCCATTTGACAGACGATGCAACTGAGGCTCAGCATGGAACACCCCAAGACCCTGAAAACAGGAAATGGAGGCACAGGGATCACAGCCCACGGGTGATTGTCCTCCAAAGGTAGGTGCTCTGGGGTCTGACATGCTCAGATATCCAGAAGGGCTCAGAGGCAGAGAATTTCTGGAGTAGACAGTGGGAGAGGGGCCCTCTAGAAAAGCGAGGCTGCGCAGCACCCCTGGAGCTGGGAGATTTGGCACACTATAAGTAGAAAATCACAGAGTCCCTACTTACCTTCCACCAAAACCCGGAAGACCTCCTCCTCCTTCCCTCCCCTCCCACTTTGAAGAGAGTGGAAGAGTTCCAGAGCAGGGGGTGGGGGGGGGGGGGGGGGGGGGGGGGGGGGGGGGGGGGCGCCTAGTGCCTTCCTTCTCTTGGTGGGCAGCAAGCGGGACATGAAGGTAATGGCGATCTGAGTCAGCGAATGCAGGAGACCCAAAAGGCAGGGTGGGATTTCCCAAATGATCCACTTATTTATAGCACACCTTGTTCCCAGAAATGACGGAAAGGCCAGGCCGTAAGCGGAGTTGGGACACATGCACTCACCAGGTTTTTGAAAAGCCCAACCCTCTGCTTTCCCTGCAGAGCAGGATGGTTGAAAAAGGAAGGAAAGCCTGGCAGAATTAAAGGTGAGTGGCATCTTCCCAGACACAGTGGCTTTCCCTGCTGAGGCTCTACAGCACGGTGTGACAAATGCATGTCATTCAGACCAAAAGTTCCTTTCTCTTTGTCTCTTCTGTGCTCCAGGTAAACCTTGATGGCTGGTCATGAGTGTTTACTATGAACAGGGCACTATGGAAGAACCTTGCCAACCTGTGTGAGGTTCCAGAATCCTGGAGATAACCCTCTCAAGCCTATTTTTTTCTTTCAGCTGAGAGGCTGTCCCAGGGAGCTCAAGGTGATCTATCTGATGTCACCTGAATCCTTTGTAAGGGCCTAAGGGGGTGCACGTGGATTCAGACTTAGAGAGAGGGACTCCACTGGGGAGGTCACCTATGAAAATAACACAAGACAGATGGAGACCTAGGGCCAGGGGACCTAGGACAGAAGGGCCACCAGGCTGAGACTGGCAAAGCTCGGTGTCTCCATGATCTGGAAGCCTGGGTGGGCAATGACTGAGGTTCCAGAGCATGAAGCTGCATCTCAGGACATGAAGTGGGTAAAAGCCTCCCAACTCCATCCCCTAAATGGGTCGGGTATGCCAGCAGCTTTACCAACCATCCCCTTTCCGTCTTCACACGCCCACAACCCCACAAGGCTGACACTCAATCCCAGCCTTCCGCTTTTGTTCTACAGCAGGAAGGTTGAGAAGGGAACAGAAAGCCTGGCACAAATTACACTTGGGTGGTGTCTTCCTAGACCTAATGGCTGTCCCTGACAAATGGCTGCCGGCCTTCCAACCTCCCCTGAAACCGTCCACCCACTTCCTTACATGCCTATGTCAAAAAGCAAACATTTCAAACGCCTTGGCAAGCTGAGGCCGTGCAAGAGGCAGGCAGTGAACTCGTCTCAAAGTTTGGGAAAGCATTTCAAATATGTGATGGAAGAAGGCACCCACTGGGAGGCGAGGGGCGGGCTCTTCGGAGGCTCTGACCCAGCCAGTCCCACTCACCTGGAACAAAGGCATTGGACTCCAGACCCCCAGGCAGCCTCAGCCTACTGGCACCTAAGGCATAACACCTCAGGTCTCTACTTACCCACGTTCATCCCACTGAGAGAGTCAGACAGGGACCCGGGCAAGCACACATTCCCAAAATGCCAGCCACAGGCTCAGAGACCTGAACCTTCTCAAGGCACAGGACTCTGCAGCCCTTCCATGGACGTCTTTTCTTGGTGTCTCTCTACACCCAGCTCAAGTTTTCAGTTAACAATAAGTTCCCATCAGTCAACCTTGCGCCCAACACCCCTTTCCCCTTTTCTGGATGGGGGTGGGGAGGAGGAGTGAGGAGACCCTCACAAGCACACAGGGTTCATTTTCACCAGTAAGCTGGGAGCTCTGTTCACAAGCCTCTCCCTGCTCCAGCAGCAACCCCCAGGCAGTCACCAAGTAAAAGGGAGGAGACGGACCCCAAAAGATTTATGAGCCAAGCGCAGAAGTTCCCAGGGCCCTGTGTTTTCTTCTGCCTCTGGCTTCTGATCTTCGTGTCTTGCTGGCAGGAGGGTCGGCAGCGTAAGCAGCCCTGGCTATGCCCAGAAGGAGTGTGCAGAGCAGCCTTGGCCACTGGGTCATTTTACAGATAAAAAGGCTGGAGAGGGGAAGAGGTTTGTTCACACAGAGAGATGTGGTCTTCTCATTCCTAGACCAGTGTTCCAGCAATTCCTGGACAAAAGTCACAGCAAAATTTGCATCTTCAGGGATAGGCCACCCGTTCCACGGCAGTGATGGCCTTTCGACCACAGACCCAAGCCCAGTCTTCTAGAGGCCTGGGCATGGCTGGCAGGAGGCAGGCAGTCGCTCTTCCTGAAAGCTGTGAACGTGGGGTGGAGCCTCAGAGGCCCATTCGAGGAGGCTACTCTGGCTGCAGCCTTCCTGGAGCTGAGAATGTACAGGATGCTCAGAGGCCACGGGGTGTCTCCGAGTGGCCCATATCTGTCATAACAGGACTATGCTTAGAGTCAGAGGCCACCCAGCCAAAACCCACCAGGGACACAGCGTGATTTCACTGGGAAGGTCTCTGCCATGGTGTTCGGGTGCTTTCATTTCATTTGCCATTGGCTCTGGGATATCTTCTTACTGGGTTAGGAAGGCACAGGGTGATCAGTCAGACTTCATTGCAAACTGCATTTGCGTGGTCCTCAGAGTCGCCCCAAGCCCAATCTCTGCAGCCTGTGGCAGACAGTATGGCCCTTCCATCCCTGACCTCCTTTCCCCTTTCCTTGAAAGGCCCAGAACCTCCCAAGGACCAAAAGGCATAAGAAAAGGTGGTGGACGAGGGGATCAAGAACAGTCAATGCCCTAGGCACGTGCTTTTTATACAGTGGGCAGCAGACAAGCAGGGTGGCTGCCAAGACGCGCAACTGTTGGCGAGAGCGTTGGCCGCTCACAGCATGTGCTTAGAATCTTCCCGCTCCGCTAGGAGAGCAACAGATGTCCCAGAGGCCACTAAGCCCCCAGGCCTGAG